CGTGACCTATTTCGAAACCCTGTACATCAGTTATATCCTATAATACCCATAATAAATCTATGTTGTAACGGACAAAGAATTTTATATTTAAAGACTTTAAGCACATCTTCGTTAACTCAACGTCTCGTTTTTTTATCTATTGTATTCATGAATACTTTTCACACTTGACAAAGATTTGAAACTACATTTTTTGAACTGATTTATAATGTTATGGGTTTATACATTTATCTAACAGCAATGCTCTAACTATTGTTTAATTAATGTAATGATTGATGGGAAGAATTCTTAACACTTCTTCCATAGTACACTAACGTCAAAATCTTTGTTATGAATTTTAAACATTATTCAACTAGAAAAAACCAACTACTAAATTGTTTTTGAATCAAAAAAATTAAAAAAAAAAAATAATTTTCAATTTCCAAACAGTTTTTACTTTTAATATTAAATATTAACTATTAACAACTATTTAATATAGGTACTGTATTGTATATAATTAAGTTGAATTTAAATAAAATTCACATACTTTAAGTAACAAAATGTTTACATATTAAAATTTAAATATTTATAATATACATGTTCATTGTTTTAAAAATATTTTAATTTAAATCGTGTAAACTAAAAATTCACATAATATTAAACTGTTTTCCTTTACTGGAATTGGCCTTTTTTTGAGATCATCGTACAATTCCCAGTTATGCGTACCTCTTTTAGCATAAGCTGTATAATGGCCTATCGAATTTCTCAATCCACTTTTTCCTTTATAGATATGTATAGCACCACGAAGTTCAAATGTGATGCTTTCATACACAAGTATCTGTGGAATATCACTCAGCTTTACTTGAACCATGCTAGCTGCTTCAGTACTACACATGGATGAAGTTAGATCATTACCTACAAAAAATATGAATATGCTTAGATTTTTAGCTGTTGATAAAAACTATTTTTTACTTATAGGACTAAAAATATATTTACCTTCCCATTGCAAAACATCAATAAATTAATGGTGGGTTGATATTTTTGAATGTACAGCTTTCATACCATCACAATTCTCACTACATTCCAAATACTCCACACCAGTGCGTTCTTTGATGAAATGCTGTAAGCCACTTAAGTTTCCGTTTTTTCCCGTCTGATACGTTAAATACATAACTTGCCACTTGGATGTTTTTATGCAAATGTTGGAAGAACATTTTGAAAATTCTTCAATTGTTGGGTAATCTTTTAGCAAAGCTTTCATAACATGACCCATGGTAGCATCACATTTAGCTAATGTGATGTTATATTGCAACAGTTGTAATTCTGGTTTTAAATAAAGCATTATAACTTCTGTTCTTTTAGTGTAAGTTGAGGATGTAATTCCATTTTTCACTAAACTTGATATGAAATTGAAGTACTTATCATCATTGAATGAATCCATGAACTCTGAATACATTTGACTATCACAATATGATATCTGAAAATATTATAATTTGAAATGGCAGTTAACAAAATAATATAGATTTTTAAAGTTAAATATTATTATAACACTGTGCATCAAAACTTGATACCCACTAAAATACATTTCTAAAATGTAGAAAACAGTGGATTATGTGTATTAAAAAAAAAAATTATTTTAACCAATTTTCATAAATATATAAAATTATACCAACAGTTATTGTTACTTACCATGAGTATAGATGATAATGCATCAAATGCACAGGTGTTACTTAAAACAACTCTGTCGGTTTTGTTAATAGTTTTAGAACTCTTTAGGTCTTGAAATCTTGACCCATTTTTTAAAATAGGCAACGATTGAGTTTTATTGCTATTCTTCAAATTCAAATATCTTAAATGCGGGTTTGGAACTAAATAAGAACAACTTTTTCTTTGTTTAAGGCTTTTACGATTCCATTCCTCAAGTGCGGCATTTTCTTCAGTAAAACTCGTTTGTCTATTGTTTTCTATATCCTCATCTACTGACATTGGGTTATTTTCATTAAACTCATTTGAACTTTTACAACACAACTCATCAATTAAAGTAATTTTTTTGTTAAAATGTGTTTGTTCATTGACTGTATCAACTACAATCAACGCTTCATTTTCATCATAATCGTTGAATTTTTTCCAAAACAAAAGATGGTGACACATTTCTTGAGAGACAATTATCACCTAAATCTTGTTGATCATTAACATCGTGAGTTTCTAACAAATTAAATGAAAATGAATGATTCAAATCAGTGTTATATCGATCTTCAACTTCTTCAGTAGAAGAATATGGTGACATATTAGATTGATTTTTGGCTATTCGGATAAGTGATGCTCCTTTTAAAGACATAACATGATTTCCTAAAAATATTTCAATATTAGTGGGTAAAACAACATTTTTCATAGTGACCGTTTTTAATTTTTTGAAGCTGGATTCAACTGCAGCTGAACTACATATTTGTTCTCCATAGTTGAAGATTGGTATCATAACACCCGACCATAGGGGGAGAAGCTTCATGCATTTAATTAATATAGGGACTAGTGATGGAATATATAGAGGATTAAGTTCAGTACCGTCCTGTATTAATGATTACTATTTTCAAAAGTTTGTTTTGCCCATTTCTCAAATGGATTATGAAGTTTGTCTAACCCTTCATTAGAACGTTCATACTCTTCTTCGATACACATTTTAGCTTCATCTTCAGATCTTGCGTTATAAATTATGTCTTCAAATTGTTGCTCAAAATCTACAAATCCCGTTGATGTAGCTTTTATAATAATTTCTTTGTGTTTTTCACATGTTGTCTGTTCGTGTGTACGTTTATTGTTTCCAGCTGTTTCATAAGTAATTACAACAAATAATGACAGTAACATTGATTTAATTTCAATTAGTGACTGACTTTTAATTAAAACACCAATAGAGCGAAGAATAACTTCTTTGACCCTTCGAGGAACAGTTTTTAGTGGTATCCAGTTACTGCATGTTTTTACAAAATGAGCAACATCAATCCTTATAAAACAATGTGGTACTAAGTGTGAATTTCCTTCTATTCTTTTAGTCAAAAGATCAGCACAAATTATGATGTAGTCCTGTAGCGTCGTATATTGTGTAAAACTTTTTGCAATGGCAGAAAGCAATGCCATTTATTGATCACATACAGCTTCTTTGGGCCTTGGAACATTACAATTGATCCAACTGGATAACCAATTAGAAATAGCCAAACTGTTATGCCGCTCACTCAACATATTGGTAACTGTAAAACTACATTTATTTTATGAATCATAGACCAATCCTTCATACAGAAAGATTGAGCTTGTTTTTTGCTTGCTCAACTTTAAGAATTTCTTCACAACCGAACCTGTAGCATCAATGATCAGTCTGGGTCTTGATCCTTTACGGTAGTTTCTGTAGATTTTAATTTGATCAGCACAATGGTAATGTAAGTAAAAAGGATCACATCCAATATCATGAATTATGTTCTTAAAATCATCTTCTTGTTTCATCAAAGCTAATGACGTTAAGGTATCTTCATGTCTACGACTGCCTGCTGTCACTTGTGATTTTAAAATGCGTAAAGAATTACCAGATGGAATAAGGGACGGATCAGGTGCACCTAAAAAATTACAGAAAATGAGTGATATGATACACATGTCACATGATACATTTAACTATTTTCATAAGGTAATATGTGTTGATTTTTTAATGAAATTATACTAGGGTAGAAGTTTGAAAGTTGCCAATTCAATAAATGGGAATTGACATACCTGTTTTTATCAGACGTACTGCTTCTCTTTCTCGATACGTCTCACTTGATAGTCCATCGACACAAATCGATGAAATTGCTTTTTCCATTGCTGGTCCTATCATACGACGTTTTTTTGTTGTTTTGTGTGCCTCTTGAAAATTACCTCTGAACGTACAATGCATAAGAACTCTATAACAAATTTAAATTATTAAGTATGAAATTACTAAATATTTTTAAATAAATAATCAAATATTTTAATTTGAATATTGAAGTACCTACTTAAATATTTTTAACAAGTACTTATGCAAATTGGTAGATTATACAATTTAAATGTAAAAAATTACTGATGTAATATATCATAATCATTTTCAGCTTACAAAGAAAATGTGCACCTATGTACTTAATATTATTGATGGAAACAAAATATAAATTATTATCTATTTGAAAAATTTAATTTGAGGAATATGTTTTTAAAAAAATTCATACTCTTTGATAATTATATATTAGGCAATTTACTTCTATTGAAACATTAAGTTATCACAATAATATACTTACTTAGCACCACCAGGGGGTTTATCAAAAACTGTCCCATTAAATCTGGAGTCGCAAACAGAGCAACGTCCCACGACACGTATGTATACAGATCCACTGGGATAAACTTTACCTCTTCGGAAAGATAAACAACAAGGCAGTTGAAAGTGTGCCCAAAAGTGTTCAGCAAGTATTGGTGTCCATGTACCTTTAGGCAAAACATAATACGATCTGGTACTTTGCATCGGACGAGATTTATCTGTTAGCTTAAACACTTTTTCTTGAGGTTGTATCTGATCCCATTCTTCAGATGAAAATGTAAATACAAATTTTTTACATGGGAGTGCATCATCTTCATCATTAGAACTGTAGTCATCAGGCGATTCTTCTAAAAACATTTGTAACCATTTTAACATTAGTTTTAATGGTATTAATAAAATAAAATAAAATAAACATATAAATTACATAGTATTATGATCTATTCACTCACAAATTTTAAATATTATAAACATAATTTACTTACCATCATCTGGTAAGATTGGTGTATGTACAATTTCACAGGACTGCTTAAATTTTAAAGGAAAACCTAGCTTTTCCATTATACCATGACGTCCCTTTTGAACAAAAGTATGAATAGCATTCGAGGACATGCGGTCACCAATATAAAGCCTTATATCTGTCCATACTTGATTTGTAGCTGCAACTATATCTATAAATAATTTCAATAAATTATAACAAAATAGTATTCAAAAGTAATTTAATAAATTGTAAAAAATTTGAATGCACAAATTGTCATGTAATTAATGTTTATTGATTTATTATGATTCAAAAAAAGTAAAAGGAGTGTAATGCAATAATTGACTGTTTAATATTGATCAATGTTACATAATCATTACTTCTGTATTAATACCTACTGAATAGTATGATACACTTACCTAATAATGTTTATATTATAAAAATGTATTAAGTATATAATAGATTATTTATTTTTTATTGATCTTAAGAATGGCAACTATGGCCATTAGCTGGATAATTTATTATAATACAGTTAACTGGTACCTATTTTAACATTTTGTCAATTTTATAACATTGACTGCCTGCTGATATGAAATTTGTTTTTAACATTGAATAACATTACCTAGTATATAACATAATATATGCAATAAAATAACACCAAATTGCAATTTTGAGTATAACAGGCAAACCTTCCCAAAAGCAGAGAAAATTAATGGTAATGGTAAGATTAAGAACCCAGAAGAACCTCATCGGTTACTGGTAAGGAGAGCTTTGATATTTAAAATACAATATAAAATATACAACAATTTATGTCTTTATGTCAGCACCTTAAACCTCACTATAGAATTAAATAAGTTAAATACAGTAGGTACTTGATATGCTAAAAAACAAAAAAACACTTACACATTTCATTTTTCTCGTTCTTCAAAACCACTCGTTCTTTGAATGTTAGAACTGCATCAATTATATCCGAAGGTGGAACAGCTCCTTTGCGTCCGACCATTTCAATCAGTTTGAATTTTCAATAATTTAATCAATTATGATTCAAATAATTTAGGTCTATTAACTATACACAGTGAATCAACAAATCAAACGTAATAAAACTCAACTAGATATGTAATTACGGTACTGTTCAATTAATATTTTGACAGAAAAACTTAAAACACAGATGTTAAAAATACTTGTTACTCGTGGAAGAGGTTATAACATTGTGTGGTTTGAAGTTTCCAAAAACTGTACCAAAATAAAATTATTGTTATTGTTTTTCTATTTTCTTCCCATAGCCAGCAGCTGAATAGGGATGCCAACATGAGAATCAATTGTATTAGGTACAATATTGGTATAAGATATAAATAGATGATGAATAATAATAGTTACTGATGAGATATAAAAATTACATGTTAGATAGGACCGTTACATTGGCAACACCATATACAAAAATCCAGAAGAAAATTGTACCAACAAAAAAACTAATTTGAATAAAACTCGCCTAGTTGAAGACAAAAATGTATATTTAATAAAAAAAAACTGAAATTAAATTAAAAAATTGAATTTGAATAAAAAGTTTTTATATTATTTTAGTTTAAATCATGATATTAGCTTTTAATATTGTTCAGCGTGTTACAAACTTCGATTATATAAATTATATATTATAAATATATTTACATTTTTAGTTCGAAACGTTTGACATGTTAGAATTTTTGCTTTTCGTAAATTTTTTAAGTTCGAACTATTTTGATTTTCAAACTTTTTTGTTCGTGTTCGGTTCGGTTCAGTTTTTTTTAAAACTGGGTTCGATTTTTCGAACTTCGAACAGTTCGACCCACCTCTAGTATATACTATATAGGTAGTTTATAACTTTCGTAAATTATTTTGTATGTTCTTCGTATTTCGTATTTGCAAAGCCCACGGCTTTGGGTTTACGATTTCCGAATAGGTCATGCAAATTCACGCCAATTGCACGCTAAATGTTGGCGTTGAAAAAAATACGAAAAAAAATTTATTTGTCTTTTGGGGGGGGCTGGAGAAATGGCAATAAAGGGGTAAAGCCCACAGTACTTGGGCCTTTGGGTTTACGGTTTCGAAATAGGTCACGCAAATTCACGCCAATTGCACGCTAAATGTTGGCGTTGAAAAAAATACGAAAAAAAATTTATTTGTCTTTTTTGGGGGGGGGGGGCTGGAGAAACGTCTAAAAAATGGTAACGCCCGTGGTACTTGGTGTTTTGAATGCAGGGTTTCGAAATAGGTCACGCAAATTCACGCCAATTGCACGCTAAATGTTGGCGTTGAAAAAAATACGAAAAAAAATTTATTTGCTGTTTGAGGGGGGCTGGGGAAATGGCAAAAAAGGGGTAAAGCCCACAGTACTTGGGCCTTTGGGTTTACGGTTTCGAAATAGGTCACGCAAATTCACGCCAATTGCACGCTAAATGTTGGCGTTGAAAAAAATACGAAAAAAAATTTATTTGTCTTTTGGGGGGGGGCTGGAGAAACGTCTAAAAAATGGTAACGCCCGTGGTACTTGGTGTTTTGAATGCAGGGTTTCGAAATAGGTCACGCAAATTCACGCCAATTGCACGCTAAATATTGAGACATAAAAAAGTCCTTAAAATTCAAAATTCGGATGAGGAGGGGCTGTAGAAACGTTTCTACAGCCCCCCCACTTTGTTTACATTTTTAAACTTGACCTAGTGCCAAGCAAATTCCAAAACCAGTCACGCCAATTCACGCTAATTGCATGCTAAATATTTAACCAAAAAAAATTTTGAAATTCGATATGGGGGGGGCTGGAGAAACGTACGTATATATAATAATAATAATATATAATATATTATATTATTTAACGCCGTGCACGATAAAATACGATAAAAATGTCTAGTAGTTAATTATGATTAAATATTATTATTACCAGAAATATTATAAGGTATATAATACAAATATAAAATAATATTTTAAATATACGTATATAATATTTAATATTATAATGGTTCACGGCCCAGTATAACGCTGCTCGCGGCCCATGGGTTGGGAACCGCTGAAGTCAATTAATTGATACAAATTTTAATTTAATATATTATTTAAAAACAGATGGATTAGTGGATGACGACTTCATTGTCGAAATTAAATGTCCGTATTCAGTAAAAGACTATGATTCTTTAGAAGAGTCTATTGAAGCAAAAAAGGTTAGTCTTAGATATCTGTTTTTAAACTGTTTATCTAATATTTTTAACCGAAAAAGAGTTTACAAAATAGGAAAATAAATAAATATTATTGTAATATGATTATTGGCTTCACTCATAATCTAAAATTTATTTATTATTAAATATTTAGATTCCATACTTAACCATGACAAATGGTAAACATTGTTTGAAAAAAGAAAGTAATTATTACTTCCAAATCCAAGGACAAATGCGGATTACCAATAGAAAAAAATGTTACTTTTTGGTATACACTCCTAAGTGGACCTTTTTGGAAATTATTGAGTTCAGTCAATTATTTTGGGAAGCTAAAATGGAGCGGCAATTAATTTTGTAAGTATCTATGATGTTGTTATATTGAAATATGTTATATATTATAATATCAATAATTATGTGTGATTTTGAAATATTTTAGATTTTATGAAGAATGTTTACTCAGAGAAATAATTGATCCTCAATACAGTAAAAGGTTGCTTAAAAGTGATATAGTAGATCCCGTACATATAAAAGAAAATATGAATAAGTTTACTTTATCAAAGAGTTCAAAACAAAAAAATAATAAATAATAAAACAATAAAATATTTTAAATAAATACAATTATTTCTAATCACGAACATTTTTCAGTTATTTTGTAATAAACACTTCACAAAAGTATTAGTATTTACATATGTTGACAAAACTTTTTGATATTTTTCCGACAGAGGTATTTTTTACAGATATTTGAAGAAAACGAATCAGGGGTGACGGATCTATTGTGTGTATACCTAAAATATACATATTATAATAAATGTTTAGTAGGCATATACATTATAATTTATAGCTATGCATAAAGTATAAACGCACTGTATACACATTTGTACATTTGTTTAAAATTAAATAAGTATATATTAAAGGTATTATTATTTATTAATTAAAAAAATGTTTGTTTTTACTTATTATCATATTAAAAATATTTGTTTAAAAAAGTAACATAATATTGAACAGTTGAACCTTGAACGTAAAATATGTTTAGGTACTATTAAATTATATTCTACTGTATGTATTATATTTGAATGAGTAATAGTGCAATAACTACAAATTAAGCTATGTTATATAACAGTTTTTACAATCTATATATTGGTGTATATATTTAGGTAAGCAGTAACTTTGAAAAAAATATAGTTCGAATGGGTACGCACGGTCATTGAAAACAATACCGCAGCGTTTACGTGTGTGACTTTTATATTGACGCGATATGCCATGGTCGAAGGTTCATGAAATAATAATCGGCGGTCTCGAGACGCGCTGAATGAGCAGTGCCAGTAGTGCCACCGACCGCGAGTAGTGGGCAACCCGAAAACACATTATAACGCATTCTCTCGGCCGTTGCATACGTAACGCTTTGGGTATCACGTCCTCTTAAAGTATCTGATAGAATCAAAGGTATTGTGGGATTCGGGTCGTTATCACGACCGAACACCAACGATTAAAAAATAAACAAGAACGCGTATAACGTGTAAGGTGCGCGATGCGCGGTTTATTACAGAAAACAATTATATTTTACAAACAGGCGAAAGGATCGAGTCGATCGGCGCTCGGAGGGTGAACGGTTGTCACGTGCGTATGCGGGTTCCGACACACGGGTCGGGATTCTTCCGCGTTGAGCGTGGGTATACCGTGTGTTCGTCGCGGAGTGCGTGCTACGGTCGCGTACGCGAGAGAGACCTGTGGTCGTGTCGCGGGATACGAAAGACGGTAGCACGAGCACGCGGACGGCGAAGATGGCGGCTTTGTGAGCGGATTGTGCGAGCGCGTTGTTAGAGGCGTGATCGTTAGCGACGACGTGCTTTCAGTTTCGCGGTTACCGGCGGAGAGACCGTTGGCAGCCGCCCGACACTTCGCGGTCGCGAGCGACGCGGAGGGCCGAGCGGTGCTGCCAACAGTGGGAGCGCGACCGACATAGGGAGGGAGCATGTGGTGAACACTGGTTCGCCACAGTATGAATCTACCTAAGATAATGGTTAAACAAGATTCACATAAACTCGAAAAAATACACGAAATAGCACAATCGCTAGATAAAGTACAACAACAAATCGATAATGAATTATTAACACAATCAGGACAGCTAGAAGCAAGCGATACGCGTAATTATTTATTTTATTTAACATTGGGCTTGATAGTATTCTCGGTCATGTTAATCATATTTATATACATAACGTATAAATGTAGGCTTACTTCGTTGCGACTTCCACAATATGAAATGGTACGACTAGGTAAAAGTAAACTTTGTACGGATAATATCAAAGTTGAACAAAAATTTAATAAAATAGACGAACAAAGTCCACTTGGAGGGGAGGATGTACCACCCCAAATAAAATAACCTATGAGAGAATATTTTATTAGTTAGAGAAAAAAAAAAACACATATTTACACAAGTAGTTAGAAATAGTAATTAGACTGAACCACATTAATTTTAAATTAATAATAATATTAAATATATTACCGACTTTTACATTAGAAGGGAAGTCAAGTTCGTTGTCATGGATTTCGAATTCACCAATATGAAGAGAACAGACATTGTGCTAATATCAGGGGCGATTTCGAACAGCCTAAACAAATGTAAGATTCGTAAGCTCGAGGGGAAACCGCTTCTCTTGCCACTTCATGAACAGGTAAGAGTTATGACTATTCGTGAAACACAGTTGGCAGAGAAATCAATAAGGCGGATTTTTCACAACAAAAAGGAGGTGGAGACGACCTGCTTAGCGCAACTTAATAAAAGTCTGAATTCTCAATTAAATAACTTAACACCAGAATTCATAAA